TCTTGTTAGAGGGCTCTAAATACAGCACAAACAACATTTTCCAAAAGACCAAAAAGGTGAAAAAGTATATTTTAACAAATCGCATTTGACTAACAGGTCGAACAACAAATGTTCTTAAACCCTGCTGATTGCCATTGGCGATTGCCAAATAAATTGATCACCGATGTAATAAATGGATCTTAATTATAAATTTAATACTAAACAGAAAACAATAAACTTGCGGAAAAGATGGTGTACCGCAAACAAAAGGTGCAAAGGTTTTTGTACACCATATCCGGATTTCGACAATTAATGTCTCTTCAGTGATGTTAGGAATCGAAACGGTATTTGGAAAGCCATACAATTTACCTCAATTTATGATAGAATCGTGAATTTTGAGGAGTCAAAATAGGATGAACGGATCATATAAACCCGAAGGCAAATATAATACAAGCCCAAACGAAAAAATATAAACAAGTCTAAATTGAAAACAATGTTCAAACCTATGATTGCGTTGGATAAAAACCGCAATTTTTATACGTGTGCATGCAAAACAAATTTCTTGTTAGAGGGGTCTAAATACAGCACAAACAACATTTTCCAAAAGACCAAAAAGGTGAAAAAGTATATTTTAACAAAACGCATTTGACTAACAGGTCGAACAACAAATGTTCTTAAACCCTGCTGACTGCCATTGGCGATTGCCAAATAAACGGATCACCGATGTAATAAATGGATCTTAATTATAAATTTAATACTAAACAGAAAACAATAAACTCGCGGAAAAGATGGGGTACCGCAAACGAAAGGTGCAAAATTTTTTGTACACCATATCCGGATTTCGACAATTAATGTCTCTTCAGTGATGTTAGGAATCGAAACGGTATTTGGAAAGCCATACAATTTACCTCAATTTATGATAGACTCTTGTATTTTGAGGAGTCAAAATAAGATGAACGGATCATATAAACCCGAAGGCAAATATAATACAATACCAAACGGGAAAATATAAACAAGTCTAAATTGAAAACAATGTTCAAACCTATGATTGCGTTGGATAAAAAACGCAATTTTTATACCCGTGCATGCATAACAAATTTCTTGTTAGAGGGGTCTAAATACAGCACAAACAACATTTTCCAAAAGACCAAAATGGTGAAAAAGTATATTTTAACAAAACGCATTTGACTAACAGGTCGAACAACAAATGTTCTTAAACCCTGCTGACTGCCATTGGCGATTGCCAAATAAACGGATCACCGATGTAATAAATGGATCTTAATTATAAATTTGACACTAAACAGAAAACAATAATCTTGCGGAAAAGATAGTATACCGCAAACAAAAGGTGCAAAGGTTTTTGTACACCATATCCGGATTTTGACAATTAATGTCTCTTCAGTGATGTTAGGAATCGATACGGTATTTGGAAAGCCATACAATTTACCTCAATTGAGGATAGACTCTTGTATTTTGAGGAGTCAAAATAGGATGAACGGATCATAAAAACCCGAAGGCAAATATAATACAAGCCCAAACGAAAACATATAAACAAGTATAAATTGAAAACAATGTTCAAACCTATGATAACGTTGGATAAAAACCGCAATTTTTATACGTGTGCATGCAAAACAAATTTCTTGTTAGAGGGGTCTAAATACAGCACAAACAACATTTTCCAAAAGACCAAAAAGGTGAAAAAGTATATTTTAACAAAACGCATTTGACTAACAGGTCGAACAACAAATGTTCTTAAACCCTGCTGATTGCCATTGGCGATTGCCAAATAAATTGATCACCGATGTAATAAATGGATCTTAATTATAAATTTAATACTAAACAGAAAACAATAAACTTGCGGAAAAGATGGTGTACCGCAAACAAAAGGTGCAAAGGTTTTTGTACACCATATCCGGATTTCGACAATTAATGTCTCTTCAGTGATGTTAGGAATCGAAACGGTATTTGGAAAGCCATACAATTTACCTCAATTTATGATAGAATCGTGAATTTTGAGGAGTCAAAATAGGATGAACGGATCATATAAACCCGAAGGCAAATATAATACAAGCCCAAACGAAAAAATATAAACAAGTCTAAATTGAAAACAATGTTCAAACCTATGATTGCGTTGGATAAAAACCGCAATTTTTATACGTGTGCATGCAAAACAAATTTCTTGTTAGAGGGGTCTAAATACAGCACAAACAACATTTTCCAAAAGACCAAAAAGGTGAAAAAGTATATTTTAACAAAACGCATTTGACTAACAGGTCGAACAACAAATGTTCTTAAACCCTGCTGACTGCCATTGGCGATTGCCAAATAAACGGATCACCGATGTAATAAATGGATCTTAATTATAAATTTAATACTAAACAGAAAACAATAAACTCGCGGAAAAGATGGGGTACCGCAAACGAAAGGTGCAAAATTTTTTGTACACCATATCCGGATTTCGACAATTAATGTCTCTTCAGTGATGTTAGGAATCGAAACGGTATTTGGAAAGCCATACAATTTACCTCAATTTATGATAGACTCTTGTATTTTGAGGAGTCAAAATAAGATGAACGGATCATATAAACCCGAAGGCAAATATAATACAATACCAAACGGGAAAATATAAACAAGTCTAAATTGAAAACAATGTTCAAACCTATGATTGCGTTGGATAAAAAACGCAATTTTTATACCCGTGCATGCATAACAAATTTCTTGTTAGAGGGGTCTAAATACAGCACAAACAACATTTTCCAAAAGACCAAAATGGTGAAAAAGTATATTTTAACAAAACGCATTTGACTAACAGGTCGAACAACAAATGTTCTTAAACCCTGCTGACTGCCATTGGCGATTGCCAAATAAACGGATCACCGATGTAATAAATGGATCTTAATTATAAATTTGACACTAAACAGAAAACAATAATCTTGCGGAAAAGATGGTATACCGCAAACAAAAGGTGCAAAGGTTTTTGTACACCATATCCGGATTTTGACAATTAATGTCTCTTCAGTGATGTTAGGAATCGATACGGTATTTGGAAAGCCATACAATTTACCTCAATTGAGGATAGACTCTTGTATTTTGAGGAGTCAAAATAGGATGAACGGATCATAAAAACCCGAAGGCAAATATAATACAAGCCCAAACGAAAACATATAAACAAGTATAAATTGAAAACAATGTTCAAACCTATGATAACGTTGGATAAAAACCGCAATTTTTATACGTGTGCATGCAAAACAAATTTCTTGTTAGAGGGGTCTAAATACAGCACAAACAACATTTTCCAAAAGACCAAAAAGGTGAAAAAGTATATTTTAACAAAACGCATTTGACTAACAGGTCGAACAACAAATGTTCTTAAACCCTGCTGATTGCCATTGGCGATTGCCAAATAAATTGATCACCGATGTAATAAATGGATCTTAATTATAAATTTAATACTAAACAGAAAACAATAAACTTGCGGAAAAGATGGTGTACCGCAAACAAAAGGTGCAAAGGTTTTTGTACACCATATCCGGATTTCGACAATTAATGTCTCTTCAGTGATGTTAGGAATCGAAACGGTATTTGGAAAGCCATACAATTTACCTCAATTTATGATAGAATCGTGAATTTTGAGGAGTCAAAATAGGATGAACGGATCATATAAACCCGAAGGCAAATATAATACAAGCCCAAACGAAAAAATATAAACAAGTCTAAATTGAAAACAATGTTCAAACCTATGATTGCGTTGGATAAAAACCGCAATTTTTATACGTGTGCATGCAAAACAAATTTCTTGTTAGAGGGGTCTAAATACAGCACAAACAACATTTTCCAAAAGACCAAAAAGGTGAAAAAGTATATTTTAACAAAACGCATTTGACTAACAGGTCGAACAACAAATGTTCTTAAACCCTGCTGACTGCCATTGGCGATTGCCAAATAAACGGATCACCGATGTAATAAATGGATCTTAATTATAAATTTAATACTAAACAGAAAACAATAAACTCGCGGAAAAGATGGGGTACCGCAAACGAAAGGTGCAAAATTTTTTGTACACCATATCCGGATTTCGACAATTAATGTCTCTTCAGTGATGTTAGGAATCGAAACGGTATTTGGAAAGCCATACAATTTACCTCAATTTATGATAGACTCTTGTATTTTGAGGAGTCAAAATAAGATGAACGGATCATATAAACCCGAAGGCAAATATAATACAATACCAAACGGGAAAATATAAACAAGTCTAAATTGAAAACAATGTTCAAACCTATGATTGCGTTGGATAAAAAACGCAATTTTTATACCCGTGCATGCATAACAAATTTCTTGTTAGAGGGGTCTAAATACAGCACAAACAACATTTTCCAAAAGACCAAAATGGTGAAAAAGTATATTTTAACAAAACGCATTTGACTAACAGGTCGAACAACAAATGTTCTTAAACCCTGCTGACTGCCATTGGCGATTGCCAAATAAACGGATCACCGATGTAATAAATGGATCTTAATTATAAATTTGACACTAAACAGAAAACAATAATCTTGCGGAAAAGATGGTATACCGCAAACAAAAGGTGCAAAGGTTTTTGTACACCATATCCGGATTTTGACAATTAATGTCTCTTCAGTGATGTTAGGAATCGATACGGTATTTGGAAAGCCATACAATTTACCTCAATTGAGGATAGACTCTTGTATTTTGAGGAGTCAAAATAGGATGAACGGATCATAAAAACCCGAAGGCAAATATAATACCAGCCCAAACGAAAACATATAAACAAGTATAAATTGAAAACAATGTTCAAACCTATGATAACGTTGGATAAAAACCGCAATTTTTATACGTGTGCATGCAAAACAAATTTCTTGTTAGGGACCGGTCAAAATTTCTTGATGCATGGGACCGGTGCAAACTGTAATGGGACAAGCACTTTTTGCAGTGTTTACCGGAATGGGACTCAATGTTTTTTCATTATTGGCAAGCATGGGACATGAACTTTTTGAAACAATGTCTGTATATGAAAAAAAATTTATTTGATAAATCTATAACAAACAAAAATAACATCATGAACATCTAGCAATGTGAATTTAACAGTTACAACATAGCAAATTCATTTACAAGATTTTAAGAACAGTGAAGGCAACAAAAAAAAATTTTGATACAGAATAAACATGAAAAAATACTTTGATATAGAATAAAAAAAATATGTAAAAATTTGATTAGATATTTGACATGTATAACTGTTTAACAAATGTAAAAAAACGAATTCATGGATAGTGTTTCTGCACAAAAAAGCATGATTGTCAAATATATAAATCTGTCCTCCCATAAAGCAGAGTTGTCTCCCATTTACCAGAGTTGTCTTTCCTGACAGAAGGTATTTTTCTATTAAACATCACTTTTATTTTTTACTAATTAATTAATTGGGCGACCTAATGATCCCATCAGAACAACAAATCTTATGCCATGTCACAGAAAAATGTTTTTTTTTATCTGAGACCAGGATCATGATGATATTTGTGTGTTTAATATGAAAAAATATTTGCAGAAAAGCCAAAATTTTTGTACATGTAATATATATTAAAATTCCTTCTCTAAAGAGTAGATAACTGTGCAAATGAGAGATAACTCCATTTTATGGGAAGACAGAATAGCGAGAACAATGTATGACGTAAAATAAAATCAACAAAATATGATGAATCTATTGGCACAATCTGAAATCCTACAAGCACTTATGTGTAAAATGTATTTATGTAAAAGAACAGAGAAAAAAATAAAAATAACAAAAAGCTTAACCATCAAATTAATAATAATAACAAAAGGCTTAACCATCAATAAAATATGAAGATGAGGTAAAAATAATTTGAAAGTAGACTGACTAGATACATGTATAAAGTAAACTCATATAAACAATAACAATTCTCACTAAACTGTGTCACATTATAATATTGGACTATTGGTACAAATACTGTTCAATAAATTCAAGGGCCAGCTCTCGGAAACAACCCTCTTTCACCATGTCGGCCAAACAACACTTGTCAAATTCACTAAGGGTATCTGAAAAAATGTTTTCGATAAATGTACATGTATCTTCTATTTCGGTAATCTGATACGCCCCCATTTCAGGAGTGAAACATTCTGACATGAGATGACCACCAAATAGTTCATAGATCTCTTTGCATCTATTTAACTTCCTGCACTTTGATCTTGCTTCAACTTTCCACTTGTTCTCTCGTTTTCTTTGTTTATCAGTTCTTTTTTTCCCTCTCTTGTTCCAACTAGTTACTTTACACTTTTGTTTTAGTTCAACAAGTGTCTTATTAAACGGCTTTATCTCATCTGCAATGAAAATGTTCATCTTGTGTATTGTGTCTTCGTTGAAATTGTGTTGACTTTGCCTTCCTGATTTTAGTCTTCCATTCTGACAAAACAATGAATCATCATCTTTACTTATTTTTTCTATTTCAGTTACAACTTTTTGTTCTAGTTTTGAGGCATTGTCGATTAATCTTTCTAAATTATCTACATCATGTGGTAAGGGAAAGTAATCCTCCTTTAAGTATTTTCCTGCACATGCTTCATTTTCACTTTTGAAATATGCCAACTTTGACTGAAAATTTCCAAAGTTTGAACTGTATTTTAATTGTCGGTTCCTTTCAACAATAAATGTGTTGTGAAAAATGGTGATATTACCACAATATGGCCAAAAAGATTCGTACAACGACTTCAAAACGGTATTGTAAAATTGTCCAGTTTTTCTTTTCGGATCAGAGATATAGCCAAATTTTTTGTTCATCCATGGCTCGATAGTTGTACTTAACTTTGTTGCTCCACCAGACTGTTTAGCCTCAACTAAAAATAGTAAATATCAAAATATACATTTGTTATTCAAGCCAATGTATTAAAACACATCAAATTATTATTAAAATCGTATTTACATACATGTACTATAGATTAAAAAATGAACTTTCAAATCAACCTGGTTATCATACTGAATTATTATGTGTGTTGCGCGACAGCCTACATGATTTGTATTAAGTAGTTGATATATAGCCATTTCAAATCGACAGGCTAACGGAGTACTTCTTTTGCTCACTCGGTAGCTAGTCACCGAGAAGTCCCAGGTTTGAGACTTAGCAGTGACAGGGAATTTTGTAGTGAGTTTAATGCTCTACCATGTGTAAAAGGATGATAACGAAGAATAAGATAAAAAAATTTGAATATGTAGTGCATAGAATCCAATCAGTAGCTTAATGTTGTGTATATATTTCACTTCTATCAGTCCCAGCAAATTTAAAAAGTTATCGTATGACTGAGGAATCTCTGATGGACAGATGAACTGATAATTATAGGGCTCTGTCGCCGCCAATTTAATTGTGAGAACATATGAAATAATACACGCTTTTAACAGTTTAAAATTATGAAAGGGGGTGGAGCACAAGTATATATATTGTCTGGTATTAAAAGCTCTTGGTTGAAATTTTGAATGATACTAGGGCTGATATGGAAAAGTTCCAGGTAATTGTATATACATGTAAAATTACTAAAGTTACATGTACATTTTTGTACTTACCGATATTAGAGCTGAGAGTGACATTTTGGGTAGAGCTACTGGCAGTACTGCTAGATACGTGTTGTTGTAAGTTTTGGTGTTTTGCTGGTGGATCACCACAGTATCCACAACTCATGGCATCTGATGCCACAAATTCTGTGCAGTCGCATTCTTCGACTCGGCACTTTCCTCTGTCGATGCCCCGGTCGTCCAGGCCCATCGTATTTACCGGAAGTTATGTATGAATGACTAAAACTTAACCAATCCGGTAAAATCCGAATATCCGTATTAAAATGAAATCAGATAAAATCATTCAGTATATAAAATATCGGCTTTAAATATCTGTAATAGTTTGTATTTCTAATTCAGTTGCGTTATAATATTTACAGTACACTATATATTTAAGTATATAGAATTAAATGTTACCCAATTTTCATTCGGAATTCGGACTTCCCCCGAGATGGATTTTGCATTTTGTAATGTTCTCGACATTTCCGCTAGAAGAAACCCGAACTTTTATAGAATATTACCATGATGTTTATTATATACACATGAATGATGCAAAGTTCTAGATATGTAACACAAAACACGATTAGTGTGGATGGAGGTTTCCACCTTGAAAATGGCCTCAACCGATCACCTGAAAGAAAGCAATACACACGAACAGATCCCCTCTTTAACACCACACTCCATTTCATTTTCTGAGAAAAGAGCAGTTCAAAGGAAGTTAACACAAGTCACTTCAGATAGTACAATTCACACATTTAACAGGTCATTACAGACTATACCCGTTAATGATAATTTATCAAAACTCAAAAGGTTGAGGGATTCAACCAAGTCTATTGTACTTCATAACAAAATCGATGCCTTGTCTTGTGTTTTGGAGGACCTTTTATATCAACATTGTGATTTAGAAAGTATTGGACCAACAATTTATGAAAGATATACCAGCAAACGGGCAAATGGAATCATAGATTTTCAAGTTGGTCTAGACATATATGCTGACTTTATGGGAGCTCCATTATATGTTAGGAAGGATGATTTATCGACTAGATTCAAAGACGATCTTTTGGATCCTGTTCATGGTGTAAGATGTTTTGTATATAATCCACATAACTATGAGAAAAAGTATATTATATTGGATAGCGATGGAGTGGACATTTTGGGTATATTGCAGAGAATAACTGATGATTTTGAAGATGCAGAAAATATCAGGGTACGTGTACGTGAAAATATTGACTATGGTTATATAAACACAGCTTTATTAACGTTGGATACTGAGCATGATCGAAGTATTGTCAAATGTATTCTTGCGAAATTGATTGGACGAAGTGATTTGATTGCTGTAGGAATAAATCCAGATATTGCTTTAAAAAAAACTTGAAAAGTCCCGACAAGTTTTTGCAGAAATGTCCAATGCAAAAGTAGCAGCTCAAGACATGATTAACTTAAGGTTGGAAACAAAAATTGACAAATGCAAAGATAATCTCAATGAAATTGACAAAAAAATTGAATCAAAATCATTATCATTGATGCGTGAGAAAGATTTCTGTGCCAGAAAAGAAATACTTGAAGAACAGCTGGATGCAAATCAAAAGTTGTTAAGCAAAGAGACAAGTTATGACCAAAAAAAAATATGGCTATTGCGTCAAAAGATTAACTGAGAAGCTTATAAAAGAAAACAGAATTAAAGCAAGAAGACTTGGTGCTGGAGCAAGACCAATGCTTGACTCTGATGATGAAGACTTTATAGCCAATGCCATCGAGAGCAAAAGTTCAGCACATGGACGCAGACAGGACACAGTCCTCTATTTAAATCACAGAGTAAAACTTGAAGATTTATTGTCTATTGCCAATTATAATTTAATTAGACGAGGAAAGAAGTTGTTGAAGTCAGCAAAAACAGTACACCTTAGGGCAAGGCCTAGAAAAATCAACACAATTGAAGGCAAGAGACATAAAGGTATTTACTGTATAATAGTACAGTGTATGAACACACTTAAAATCTGTGTTTCTTCATCATGTTCTTGTTCGTGTAACTAAAAACATGCACAATAAGGAAAAAACAAGAAATCGTAAATCAATTAGCATAGACAAATTACATGTACATTTTGTACAATGACACAAAGACGGAAACAACACAAATAGCAAGAACGTAATAAAATATGAGCAACACGGACCCTAACAACACAAGGCACAATGCACACCCAGGTGCTCTTAATGAGAAAGTGATGTCTGCCACTAAATAGCAACTTGAAATGTTGATCATGGTAAAATCTGGAAAATATAACATGCCGTACAACACATACAAGTAAATACATGGAAGTGTGACTATAAAATTTGGAACACGATCAAAGTGGATAAGGCAACTCCAAGATCACCCCATATAAATAAATTATTTGTTTTAATTACTTGTGATTTAATTTCTTTTATTTATATTTATCATGTTTATGTAATCTTGACTGATCCCAAAATGAAATGTAAATACTATATTGTTAGAATGCAGATCATATAATGTCCATAATTATGATACAATGTACATTACAGGTAACTGGCTCTTTTGTACCAAAAAACCCCCAAAGACTGAGGACCACAGTACTGAGCTCACCCATCATCAAAGGGCGCATGTAAAATTAAACAGAGAAGACATGTTCAGCACCAATAGCTTGTTCAGATATTCAAGTCTGGACATCTCATTTGATGATAAAGCTTATATCAGACCAGGCACAGATGGTAAGTCAACTATTCTTTATAGCACTTGTGAGCCAAGGCAGGTTCAGGCGGGGGCTTGGCGGGTGTGCACCTCCTTGGGCACTAAAAATATGTTTTTTTCCTGGAAAATCTTAATTCTTCGTCAAACGAAATGAATTCCAAACAATATTATAACAAACTTTCCCTGTCCTAAGCATATTTTCTTACCATTTTCAGTCGGATTGAGAGATACAAAAGCTGGAAAAATACTCACCTTGACGGATGAAAGCAAACAAAGAAAGCTACCACAACATGACTTTGCAACACCAGAGGTGTACCAGTCACCTAGCTCATTTAGATTAATGACATGGAAAACTGAAACAATACAGGGTAAGTTGTATAAATATCATTTAGGGGAAGACAGATCTTTTTCTGGATGCTGGGATATGGCATTAGAGGATAGAGAAACCAATATGTTTTAAAAATCTTGTCGAAATTTCGATGTTCGGTGGGTGCCCTATAGTAATCACTCTGTCCGTCCGCCTGTCTACCCTTTCATTGTCGTACGATAACTCAAATTTGCTTTGACCGATTTAAAAAAAAATTTATACACATTATTTAGCAACACTAGAGGAGGCTCTCTTTCGATTTTGGAGCATTTTTATTTTTTGTTTCCAAGTTATTGGACTTAGGCCATCATGATGTGTCAGTTTTCTAGTTTGATATGTGTATTTTTTATGTATTTTTTTAGGTAAGGAGAGATTGATTAAAGACCATGACCAAAGTTGTGTTGTTGTCCGTCCAAAATTCTATGTTGGAAGCTCAGGGTGTGTATGGGGTAGTGATTTGTTGCGTCTCCGCTATGAAAAACCTGATTTATTTGAAATGTCTCCTGAACGCGGTGAGTCAATACAAGATAAACAGTTTTATGCGATGGTCCATGATGCTGCATTTTATGTCTTTGACAGTACCACTGATGATGACTTAACATCTTTATTATCTGGACAATCAAATTATACACATTATGAATCAGAAAGGATAACACATTTTGCTCGTCGTCTTGAACGTGTGTTAGCAAATTTTCCCAATACAGGATCTGATGAACTAATTGACAAACTTAAAGAAGCTTTACAGTTAATTGAAAAACTGAATCAAGATCTTAAAGGTGAAAACATGAGAATTTGTAACAGGAATTTGAAAACTTTGAGAGATTAGTGTGAAGAAATCATTCGTTCTATTGATTCTATGAATATATATCCTGTGAAGCCAGTTATTTCTGAATATACTGATGGTGGACCTGGAGTTGGGGTTAATAATACTGCAGTTAAATTCAGATTTGCTGAAATGTGTCGTATCCAGAATTCTGTGAGAAGAGTCAGAATCCATAGGGCCAGTGGAGACTCGGCACAAAATGAAGCAGAGAGAACAAACAGTGCTATTGGTAAGATTGCTACCAAATGCTATACATGTATTTGTATTTATTGTACAGCAACATATATTCAATGTAGAACGTAACCAAACGTTAGTGTGCAATATTCCATGATATTGCACTCATAATTGACGTCATCGATGTTGAAAATCAAATTTTTGGCATTTCAAAGGTTTTGCTATACAATAAAAGGGTAATTGCATGAAAACTGGTGAATATTATCCCTCATAGAATATTAATTGCACTCGCAAGCTCGTGCAATATAATATTCTACTTGGGACAACATTCAGCAATATTCATGTAAGTACCCTATATTATATATATATAATTTATACTATGTAATATATTTGAATTTATGTTTAATACAATTTATGTCCTTTTGGGAATAAAAAAAAGTTTAACAGCAGTAAACAGAAGGCTGAGCCGACCAGTCTTTGCTCTAACTCCTAAATGCCGCGTGCTTATAGAAGAAGCAGCAAATACCAATTTTAAAGTCTTTGGTTTGACCCGGCCGGGGATCAAACCCACTATAAAGATCATTTGTAGACAAATAGTATAAACCAAATGGAATAAGATCCAGATTAATGGTTTAAGCTACTGCTAGGTTACGATTTTCATTATTTACTTGCAACAATACTTTATATGATTCTCTTAAATTCTCTTCTTCTTTATAAATGTTTTAGGCTTATATTGCATTGAATATTGAATATCATTAAGAGGACATCAATTGTAAAAGTAAATTTTTCATCATTTGTAAATTTATAGGTGATGCATTAGTGGATGGTGCGACTATATGTTGGGAATATTTCAAACCCCTTCATGGTTTGTCTCAGGAGGATCAGGACACCATGACACCCAGTGATCTTGATAAACACAAGGCTGCAATGATGGAAAAAAATGCTTGGGCAGTTGCAGAAGTCGTGTCCTTGAGAATAGATGATGCCAAAGGACCTGCAGGATTTATTCAGGCATATGTGACAGAACACCCTGGTACATTGTCTATATACATCATGCACATATATTAAAAAGAATTTATGAACACGTCTATATTGAAACAAACGTTCCAACCTACATGTATTAGAGCATTGGATAAAAACCGTAATTTTTATATGTGTACATGCAAAACAAAATCAGTAAATATTGGGTAAATATCAATGAGACAACCACCCAATCCTTATAAACAATTAAGCATTCCAATTAGGGGTCAGTCAGCAAACTTCAATGGCCAGTGAGAAAAAAATCACTGAGCCAAGTGACACTATTAAGGCCGGAGACCTTGAGGTGTTTACAGTTGGTCGATACACATACACCATCAGATCACTGATATAGTGGCACTACTCTGTTTAATGGTACTACAAAAAATTTTTTTTGTGAAAAGATAATTTCTTGCTTTCCTTTGTATTCAAGAGTGTTCATAGCTACCACTCTTAATACAAAGGAAAGTAGAATGAAATGTCTTAACAGAAAAAAGTTACAGCAGTACCACTGAAAAGAGTGGTACCACTATGTTGGTGATCAGTCATGGTTACACTCTTTCTGTACTGTAGAAAACCTACATGTATGGGAAATCATACGTTCTATTTTCACTTTTAATTTGCACCTTTAATACATGTACATATCCTAAATATTAGCCTGATTAACCAATAAATAATCAATTACCAATAATGTTTGTCTTATTTCAGAGGACCAGTTTTTCTGGAATGGCAATTACCTCAAAAGATATCATGAGTCTTCAAAATCTGCCAAAGCAACGGTACCAGGACGTGGTTACTTCAAAAAGATTTATGAATTTATTGATCAGCACTGCGAAGTAGGTGAACTTTATATTGAATACAGAAAATATCGTTGTGAACAGTCACATGGGACCAAGTGTGAGTACTGTTTGAGATCTCCAGTGAATGATTTATATGGACCAAATTTGGTTAAACCAGTACCTAGGCCATATCCAGATTATGAAAGACTTCCTGATTTGCATTATTTAGTACACAGTAACACTCCCGTACAAATCGATAACGTTGAGCGGGAACCAGATGACTTTCAGCCACGTGCAAACATTAAGAAATTGTTTGCCTTGGGAGAATTGTCGACATCTAACCATGCTAGTGTATCTCAATTTAGCAAGAAGTATGTCCTTCCAGAGGATCTTGTTATGAAATATGTCTTGCATCTTGAAACACTAAAGGCTGATAAGGAAAAACGGTCCATTGCAACACAAAAAAAGAGACATGATGTGACCTGTAAAACATATGATGACTATAATTGGGTGGAGATGTTTGAAAATAACTCTATAGACAAACAGACAATGTCGGTATTAGACAAATACATACAGCATCATAATCTTGGAAATTTCACTGTAAAACCTGAAAAAGTGAAAGCTGTTAAGCAATCTATTGCTATGCATTTGATAGCAGATAACAATCAGGTCAATGAAATTCAGTCAGACGAGGATGATGTAATCATTGAATTATTTGATCCAGACACAGAAACTGAAACAGACAGTAGTTCCAGTAGTTCTGAGAGTGAAAGGGAAATTGAAAACTTACAAATCTCTACTAGATCGAGACGTGTCAGACTACCCAAAAGATATGACGACTATGTAACCTAAAGTTCAGTGGTCTAAAAAAGAAATAAAAGATTTTTCTCTATTTTACATAAGAATAGATAAACATGTACACATTCAAAATTTACAACAAAAATGATAGCTTACTGTAGAAAATATAGGGATATGGAGTATAAAAGTGTGCTTGTTTTTCAAAAAAGTTCTTTGAAAAGTGTGAATATTTGGTCTTTTTACATAGGGAAAATTCTGAAAATTTGTGAAAATCTCCATTTCATATGCTTTAGAAGTTTCAATAAAAAGAAATGTGGTGTATAAACCAGCCATACTTTTAAGAAAATTGACAAAATGTGTGATTTCCATGTACTTTCTATACAAATTATCTCCCTTGGATTGAAACAGAAATTTTGAAAATGGCCATGCAATTAAAAGTGCTACTTCAACTATAATTAAACAAAATGAATTGTTTTAATGTTTCTGTTTTATTTTGTACATGTAGACCATAATTCCTTAAATAAAACAAAAATCTAACATGCCCAGAAATGATGTTCAGTGATGACCCCCTGAACTACCTTAATTATAAATGTTATTATCATGATTATGCAAATTCAACAGACATTGTAGAATGAAAACTCTTTTTTTTATAATACATACTGGCTGTAGAAAAAGAATGTTTGTGGAAATTTAACAAATACAGTAGCATACTACCAAAAGAAATGATTGGAATATTCATTCAAAGGTCACAACAAATCTGGAACCCACACCCAACATGCTCTGAATGGCCCAGATATAAATATATAATCAATCAAGCTGCATATATGTTGAGATAGTAAATTTTACTTTTTTCCCACTTTAAAAAAAATGTTTAAAATACAATATTGTTGTAAGTGGAAGTTGGAGACAATTTTGATGCTATTTTCACATTCCTCTCGTTTTAAATTTGAAAATTTAACTGTCTCGAGATGTTCACTTCTTCTGGTATGACTATTCAAATAATGGGGATTGTTTTATTCTAAGCAGAAAAAAAAAATCATATTTTTGTAATTTTTTTTTTTGGAAAATTTACCTACCCACTGTTAATTTAGAATAGTCAGATTCTAAATTAAGCTGCAATTTTTTTGAAAAAATGTATTCTACCATACACTTCATACATGTTAATTGTTTAATATTGCATGTATCATTTATTATAGTCAATAACATATTGTCATCTGTTTGGGCTCCTGTGTTGGCAATAAAATATGCTTATGTATTGTTTTGTTTACTTTATAATAGCAAAATAGATACAGTTCACACATAGTAGCATTATTTGTCAGCTATCTAAATACATTGTAGCATGAAATGTAGCCACAACTTTGATCATGTTTTTGTGCTTTAACATGGGACACACACTTTTTTACTAGGTAAAGTGCATGGGACAAGCATATTTTTATTCTGCCAGTAACCATGGGATCAAGAGAATTATTTCAGACAATTTTCTTTTTGCACCGGTCCCATGCATCAAGAAATTTTGACCGGTCCCTTAGAGGGGTCTAAATACAGCACAAACAACATTTTCCAAAAGACCAAAAAGGTGAAAAAGTATATTTTAACAAAACGCATTTGACTAACAGGTCGAACAACAAATGTTCTTAAACCCTGCTGACTGCCATTGGCGATTGCCAAATAAACGGATCACCGATGTAATAAATGGATCTTAATTATAAATTTGATACTAAACAGAAAACCATAATCTTGCGGAAAAGATGGTATACCGCAAATAAAAGTTGCAAAGGTTTTTGTACACCATATCCGGATTTCGACAATTAATGTCTCTTCAGTGATGTTAGGAATCGAAACGGTATTTGGAAAGCCATACAATTTACCTCAATTTAGGATAGACTCTTGTATTTTGATGAGTCAAAATAGGATGAACGGATCATATAAACCCGAAGGCAAATATAATACAATACAAAACGAAAAAATATAAACAAGTCTAAATTGAAAATAATGTTCAAACCTATGATTGCGTTGGATAAAAAACGCAATTTTTATACCTGTGCATGCAAAACAAATTTCTTGTTAGAGGGCTCTAAATACAGCACAAACAACATTTTCCAAAAGACCAATAAGGTGAAAAAGTATATTTTAACAAAACGCATTTGACTAACAGGTAGAACAACAAATGTTCTTAAACCCTGCTGATTGCCATTGGCGATTGCCAAATAAACTGATCACCGATGTAATAAATGGATCTTAATTATAAATTTAATATTAAACAGAAAACAATAAACTTGCGGAAAAGATGGTGTACCGCAAACAAAAGGTGCAAAGGTTTTTGTACACCATATCCGGATTTCGACAATTAATGTCTCTTCAGTGATGTTAGGAATCGAAACGGTATTTGGAAAGCCATACAATTTACCTCATCTTAGTATAGACTCTTGAATTTTTTAGTAAAAATAGGCTGAACGGATCATATAAACCCGAAGGCAAATATAATACAAGCCCAAACGAAAAAATATAAACAAGTCTAAATTGAAAACAACGTTCAAACCTATGATTGCGTTGGATGAAAATATTTTTACACAAGAAATTCTACACAAAAAGTTACGACAAAAGGTAAGATTGTTTCCCCCTATTGTTAAAAATTCCGTTTACGGTGTCAATATATGCCAACTTTTTCGCTATGCCCTTGTCAGTAGTGACGTACTGGATTTCAATGAGCGTAATTTATGTATTACTGGTAAATTATTAAGTAAAAGGTTTCGTTTCCACAAATTGCTTAAAACCTTTATTAAATTCTTCCATAGATACAAAGATTTTGTTTACAATTTTGGTTGTACCTGTAGAAAACTTATTTCAAACGGAAAAGTACATCCTTTTTTATTTACGGTGATGTTGTTTACCTAGCCCAGTAATTTATGATCCAAGTAAACTTGTCAATCCTTTTTAATAAACTTATTTAAAAATGTTACCAATTCAACACTGAAATTAGATCTTTGAATATTGTTTTATTGGTATGAATATTGATTTTGTTATCAGTAAATTAAAACCATGCAACATATTATTGTTATACACATATTTGATATCACTATACTACAATCTGTAGATACCTTTATCTTGGCATTGCACAAGGTCATGTTTTTTCTCTGACTGTTAAGATACATGATTTTTTATTAGATGTAATTGGCTTTGAGCAAGCCGTCAGTAACTGCGAGTACTTTGAGCGATAATAAACATGTTCAACCCAAACACATTCTATATGTGATTGTCCCATTTCAGGAGCCTGTATTTCAGTGGTTGTTGTTGGCTCATGTCTGTCTTATTTGTTTTTCATAAAGTGTTTTGTTATTTATTATGCCGCTAGTTTTCTCAATTGATTTGTTTCATATTTTTAATGTTGGGCCTTTTAAAGCCGACTTTTCGGTATAGGTTTGTTCATTGTCGAAGGCCGTACGGTTGCCTATAATTGCTTACATGCACTATATTGGCAGTCATTACGCATCTCCGTATTTAATATTGATATTGCTCCTCTTATTGATGATGATTTAAACTCTTCGACGGTTTGTTTTTCATTTGTTGATATATTTTAATCTCCTTAACAAACCGTGTAATTAGAAAAAAAAACGTAGATTTGAAACCTTACATTGTTCAACTCATTTAATTTGTCAATCATAATTGGAACGGTATCGTACCAATAGTTGGTCATATTAAGAATCGGTAAAAAAGGACGGGTATCTTCAAAGTTTTATAAAACTTTATAAAGTTTCGTAAACATGTTTTAACAGAGGAACGTGAAAAAAGTTCAAGTTGAATTATTAAAGTTACATATATCTCCGTATCTAAAGATACAAAAATGCACCGACGATGTATGCAAATATGTACTATGTAACATTGTAGTTGATATGTATTGAACTGCTGACATTTTTGAAGCACCTTTGTTCTCCCAGGGTTTTATAAGTTTTTTGTAGAAAAACGTTTTGTTTTAATGAGTAATGTTGTATGCCTGATTTCTATTCTCATTTAATCATAATGTAGTCTGCATTTTTCCGATTGTAACTGTCACTCTTGGTATCTATTCCTTTCGTTTAAAAAAGCTCTACAAATAAAATATTTAAATATAAATCAAGCCTAAAAGTCAAAACACGTGTCTAACGCAGACAAATTCATTATCTGAATAAGGATCATCTTGAACTCTGAGCAAGATGTGATCAATGTACATATCAATCCTATTTCTATTCATAACTGCTATGAACAATGTCTAGAATGCATGTTGTTTATTTATTTTACCAGGAACGCTCAAAGCCAAAACATGTGAAGCCAAGGATTTACGGAAACATAATGAGCTATATGACCAAACGAACATAAAAAGATAAGTTTTATCCATCTAAGTTGAACTTTCTTGTAGGAATTTACTAACAAGGCAAATTAGTCAACCACTTTGTATTGGGTATGAGGAAACCAGTGATATCTGCAAATTGTTGTTCCATATGAATGTAGGAGCTTTTGAATAATGAAATTTAAGAAGAATTGTAACTTATTCTGAAAATAGTTTTTTTTACTATCAAATAACATATTTAAGTTTAATTTGTACTTGTCCTTCATTACTCAATTAAACCGAACTTTTTCCTGTCATCAAATCTGGAAATTCTAATTTCACCGTAGCTATGTAAAACGGAAACATTATACATTTCGAATTTTAAAAGTAGGGATTTTTACGATTAACAAAGAAACAGATTGTTTTGTACTCAGGAACTATATTTGCAAAATATACATCTATCAAGAAAACCTTTAGAAATCATAATCTACTACGAACAACAAAAATTTCCTGAGGGTAACGTGTTAAAACGATAATGCTAAAAATAGTATTTATTATGCTTCAGTATTGTCTATGTATATACATAACCGTGACATTTTATGTGTTTCTACGCATATAAAAAAAAACGTAGCTTAACAGATTTATAATTTTTTAAAACTCTGCATTTATACTGCTAATTGGATCATTGATATGAAATATATTTTCTTTTTTGATTTGTAAATGTTGACTATTAAACCTTCTAGCAGAGATGGTTGGTATACTCCAATGAGACAGTCATCCCATGCAATAGTAGGCACATGAATGAATTAAGCATTACTATATAATTATTTAGTTTTATAAATTTTAAACCATCTACATTACCTGGTATATACCCTACCAGTTCTAATATTGAAAACTATTTATTTGTTTCACTTATTCTAAAGTAGGTATGCTGTAAAACAAATTTGGTGTATGGGAAACTATAAAAGATACCGCATAGCTCACACCGAATACAGTAAAAAAATAAGGAAAAAAAAGCAATAAAAATGCTTGTTTTCTAAAATAATTTTTTTTTAATTTCTTCTTAATTTCATTTAAAATTAATGTAGCATTATGAATTTTTTTACATGATTCTCACGATCCTCGTTATTGATTATCAATCGAAATACCATTTCTTCAAGATAGTGCATGTAAAATCAGAACATGTAAATTGTCGATGAGATCCCAATCTTTAAAAGGAGAGGCGAAAGATACAAAGGGATATTCAAACTTACAAGTCGAAAACTATATGGCAATGCCATGAAAAAAATATTAAAAACTACGAAAAGACAAACAACAGTACATAGTCAGTTGTGATTGATTTGTCTCTCTTTTACCAAAGATGTGATTGGTGAATATAAAAATAAGTAGATGTGGTATGATTGCCAATGAGAAAACTATCCACCAAAATTTAAATGAAGTGGATGGGCATTGTAACATGTGAAACTTATTATTCTCAATTTGAGTTGAAATTTGATTGGCATGAGTCTCATAAATATAGATGGAAAAAAAATCAATTTACTATGTTGTCGTATGCTTTTTTATTTATCCAGTTAATTTTTTCGATATTCATATTCTTT